CCTGTGCAAACAGGTAGTGAGATACCGAAGTGATTCCACTTGTACCTGCAAAATCAGAGGTCATCATTGAAAATCAGGCCCAAATGATATAATTCTGTTTCCTTGTTGTCTGTGAACAGGTGGTTTTATTTTGCTGAGCTAACCTTGTCGAGGAGGAGTTGTTCTTTTCATTATTCCAGGTGGATGAGTGGACTAATTATTTTGTGTTTTAAAGAGAATGTTCCCTAAGAGAGTCTTGACTTCCAAGACATAGCCAGTGGAGCAGCTGAGCTATGGATGAGCACAAAGGACAGCCTAAGGCCAACATCATCTCCATTGTATCACATGTTCCTTGAAATGTATATGGACCCAGATCCGGAATCATGTGCTCATAGAATCATAGAATAGAATAATAGAATATCAGGGTTGGAAGGGACCTCAGGAGGTCATCTAGTCCAACCCCCTGCTCAAAGCAGGACCGATCCCCGACTAAATCATCCCAGCCAGGGCTTTGTCAAGCCTGACCTTAAAAACTTCTAGGGAAGGAGATTCCACCACCTCCCTAGGTAACGCATTCCAGTGTTTCACCACCCTCCTAGTGAAAAAGTTTTTCCTAATATGCAACCTAAATCTCCCCCACTGCTCCTGAAGTCCTTACCAAAACCCCTTTATCTAAAGCCCTCAGGTAAAATGTCTTCAATTAATGCACAAAGCTCTCAAACCTGCAAATGACCCCATTGACACCAGTGGGGCTACCCATAAATGCAGGGATATGCTTGTATGGAACAAGTTATGGGGTTGGGACCAAGTTGTGATGGGTGCCTTGAGTGGAAATTCAGAGAGTGACAGGATTAGTCTTAAGATTCTTTGGTTGACCATTACTGTGTTAACATCTAATACTAGTTAAAGTGTGTGGGGTAAAGGGGAGGTGGGAGGAGGTTCTTGAGTCAGGGGGTGAGGTACCTAGGTGCTAAATAAAATGTATTATTTTTATTTTATTATTTTATTATTATTATTTTATTTTATTTATTAAGAAAGAACCAATATTCTGTTGAGAGTCCACCCTCTCCCCCTCCCCAAAAGACAGATATTTACAATCTTTACTTTTCTTGTTGTGACGCTTTCTATTTCTAACTCTGGGAGTATTATCTTACTTTTGATTATATACTTTCTTACAAAAAGAAATACCAACAATCCAGTTTTATTAATGAGGTATGATAGCTTATTAAAATTGCACATAGATACTCAATGACATTCCACACCTCAAGAAATGATAATTTGGTTAAAAATCTGGTAGGGTGCAAACAGGAAACTGCGAAAACTCATGGGGCTTTTAACTGACAACATTTTTTACCTATAAACTGCCCATAATACCTAATTTGTAACAATATTTTAAATTAAAACTGATTTTCTTAGGAGCAGATCCTCATCTGCTTAAAATCAGTATAGCTTCATTGACTTTGATGGAACTACACTAATTTACTCCAGATAAACTGAGAGTCTGTCCCTTAATGTTTTTTTTAATTGTATTTTCCTGTGAAACTCTAAGTCACCACTTTTTCTTAAATGTGTGGTAAGTTACATTCTGCTGGTCCATAAGACATTTAACCATAGACAAATCTGTGCTATCAAAACAGGCTTTTAAAAGTTGAACCAAATCCAAGAGAAAGAAGGCTATATCCATAATAAAAGTTGGCATCAGCTTATCTATAAATTCTTAAACATAAGAAAAACACTAAAATCGTCTTAAGAATCTGAATTTTCAGACTAGCTTGTTTAGCTCAAGGGCATTTGCAAATGTAGGCGATCTCACATCTCAAAGGATACAAAGGCATCACATTTATGCTTCATATTTATTTGTTATGACATTGCCCCTAAGAAAACTAACACTACTGTTAAAAGAGTAATATGGATGGTGCAGTGCGTGATAGGCTGATACATTGTGACAGAAGCTAGGAAGCATAGGAAAGGACTGTTGTCTCCAAATTTGGCTCCTTGAACCTTTGGAAAAAAATGCTGCAAGTTATGGCAATTTCAATTAAAACCAGAACTATTAGTGCAAGACATAGCCAAATGCCATACAGCCTTTAAACATCACTAACTATCCAGTTGCTTTCTTTATTATGTTCATAGGTGATTTAGAGCACTATGGATGTGATTCTCATTTACAGTAAGGGCACTGGCAATATAAAGAGACCTTAAAGTGGATGGAACAGTAAGTGTAATTCATGCCGACTTTAGGGCCACTTTGCACTGCCAGAGTGGTGTACAGAAACCTTCGTGTAAATGAGAATTAACCCTATAACTCTGATCCTGTAAGACATTCCACACAGGACCAAAGGTTGTGCATGCACAGAGCAGCTTGTTGGAGTGGGACCTATGTTACGTCTAGGATTACAAGCAGGGCTGAACTTCAAGTGACAGTGAGTTCTTGAATTTTCTACATTAATTACTTTAAGAATTCACATTTTCATCTACAGCTGTACACAGCGTCGTATATATGGATCCTTTGCTAAACATGCTGCTCCAAAACAAACATCTCCACTAAATAAACTATTAGAATCACCATGGTTAGGGTTATGTCAACACTCCTACAGTTTTTCCAGGGGCTATAGTTCAATTAGGAAAAAATTGCCACAGACTGAAGCTCAGTTCAAAGATAAATCAAAGTTCACCAAATTTGGAAAAAAACCTCTTTGACAATTTATCACCCATAGGAATGCAGAGCAAAGAAAATTAATGAGATCTCAGGAGCTGTTTTATATCCTTGTAGATAATAAAGGATTTTTTTAAAGGGAATCCTGCAGGATTTTTGACCATAATGCCTTGGCTATTTGGGTGGATAGAGGTAAATTCTGTCCCCCAGTCCAGACCCTGTTGCTCCAGCAGTACAAAAAAGGGGATTATAAGGACTTCTCCTTCCTGCACAGCCCCAGGCATATTATTGTGACTATGGGTGGAAAGGGGCAGATCAGGAGAGAAGGGGATGTGCCCAGAGAACTTAATGTTCCAGGTAATTGGGCTGATTTAATTTGCTTTGAGGGCTGCATCAGCTCAGAACTAGGGAGATACAAAGAGCTGTGGCCTGCCTGAACCATGACCTTCTTGAGGTGCAGTATAGAATCTGACCCACATAGGTAAAAATAAGATGACTGAGCTATTTTTTGCGAACGGGGAGAAGCCATGCACACAAATCCTCCCTGCATTTCTGAAGGAGTACACAGCATTTTAGCTATACAATTCCCCTTGTCTTTAACGGGAGATGCAGTCTAACACTGTGTACTCTTCTGAGACTTGAGTCCTTACTCTGTTTAATGTGTGGAATTTTTGGATGGCTGGCAACAGGATTAGTAGAGGTGACCATAAGGACTCCTGCTGAGCAGTCTATTGACCTAAGAAAGATTTACACAGTGGACACAAACAGCTCCTTAACAGCTGTTCTGTTCTAGTGCATCAAAAATCCCCTTTTTAAATAGTGCCCAAATATAGTTCGCCTGTTCCATCAAAGTCATTCAGTTGGGGATATGTAAGAAGTAAATATAATGTACTAACCTGAACATTTGGTCCCTTTTTAACCCTTTCTTTATTCCTTTTTTTCTCCCATTACATCTATTGTGCTCATCTTTGCATTTCATTCCAACTTCTCTTATTTTTTCATTCTAAATATTGCTTTTATTTTTTCTTACTATTTCCTGCCTTCCATCTTCTCACCACCTTCTCTCTATCCATCTCCAGCTACCCTCATTTTTCTTCTTCCTCTATGTTGCTCCTCATCTTCTCCACACATCCTCCTCCTTCTGTTTGTTCTCTATCTGTTACCCTTTACACCAGATCTCACTCTTCTTTTTCCTTGCCTCCACTCTATTTCTGTCCCCTTCCTGAGTCTCATCAGTCCATGGGGGTCAGTTTACCTTCAGTTGATTGTTAAAAAAATGTAAGGAAATTTAGCAACAAAAGAGCATATTCAAATAGCCCTATAGGTTATAATGAAATATAATAAAATAAGCCAGGAAATTCAGTCTGACACTGTCTTTAATTCATACTGCTACACTCTATTCCTTGTTAACCATCACAGGATGAAATATGAATTTCCTGATTTTATTGGGTTTTTTTTTCTAACAAGAAAGTTTCCCCATACTTTTGTTCAATGTTCTTCTAAATTATGGATGGGTTGTCTCACTAAGATTGTCAGAATATACATATAACAGAAACAATGGTCTTTTGAAAACTCTTAAATACTGATACATTTTAGACATGTATACTAGATCTATGAAAATTCATATTTTATATTTAATTGCTATTTCTGCTCATGTTACAGAATTAAACAATATAATTCTGAACAATTATTGGAAAAGATTTTGAAAATAATAATAAAACCATCAACCAATTCCTGAAATGCTACCATAATGAAATAAGCATGATTCATAATAATCCTTCCATAAAAATTAAATATTGGTTATCCACTGCTAGTAATAATTTAGTTGAAATATCAAACCTAAATGGTAGCACTTATGAAAAGTTAACTTCTAACTAGCATACTTCAAAGAGGACTAAAAATCTCTATGGCAGAGATAGTGAACATTTTTGGTACTGCATGCCAAGAAATTACAGAAGACTGACTCATCATCATTTGGCCAGTTGGCAATACAGAGGCATTTGTCCAGCAATCAGCAGGACTTCTGCTGTTACATTTTGAAAGACATAATTTTAATTCTAGTCTGATACTTTGTGGTTTTCAATGCAACATATGCCACACTTATCTCACTCACTGCTGATTCATATTGTTATATTGGATGAAGCTGTTCAAACAAGTACATTATATTGAAGGTTGTCAACAATGCTACCATGAATTCTCTCTCTCTCTCTCTCTTTTCCCCCTGTAGAAACAAAAGAATCAGGCAATGTATTTCAAATTTGCAAAATTGCATATTTGGGATTGATTATTTTCCTCAATGCTGCCATGCTCAATATTTTATATGGAGGAACTGAGATTAAATATTAACCATTTATTTTCCATACAGTGCTCTTTTGAAACTCAACCATTTCCATCACAAGTCTATTGATTTCTAACCACTGGAGATCTGCGATGCAGAGATCTTCAGACTTGATTGTGTGTGGCTGCCTGCTGTGTGGTGACATATTTCCAAGCAGTTGGACCTTTAGAAGCCCTTATGGAAAGATGCTCTTTCCATATGATTGGTGCACTTTTTTGATGTTGCCAGCATTGTATTTGAAAGGATCTGAATTTTTTAGATGTTTCCTCAATAAAGTAAGTAAAGCATTTCATCTTCCAGTGTCCCAATATTTCTTGAGTATTCTGCACTTCTTTTCAAATATAGAATAAGATCTTGGCCTAATTGAATCAGTGGGAAAATTCAGTGTCTACCATGATGCCTTAATCTTGAAGTTTTATATTTAGTTCACTGAAGTGTTGAATGGAGTCAGGAAAAATCAGAGCATTCATCCATTCGAAGCTTGTTAGTTCTGGGTAATCTTGTCCTTTATGAACTAAGAACATCCTGATTTCTTCCAAACATTCCAAAAATCAACCAAGAAAATAGCTTCAGCCTAGTCCTCTGGCACTATTGTACATCAGGAATTCCAAATATTGAGAGCTTACTTCTAAAAGTGTTTTAAACTCTCAGTTATTAAAGCTCTTGCAGCAATGAAATTCATAGCTTTATCACCACCTTTATATGCCTTCAAACACAGCTAGACTTTCTTTAGCACAGGGCACCTTTTGATGCTTGATATAATTAAATTCTACCACCCAGTGACTGACTTCCTGAACAAGATATTGACTGAAATCTGCATTACAGCCAACCACAGAGGGAACTTCAACTGTTGTTACTCATGCAATGTTGGAGATGCCTCAGCCACTGCACTGAAAATATTTACGCAGTTCTTTTTGTATTTGGTATTTTGCTATGTGTTTCATGATAAGCACAAGTCCAAGAATTTACATCTGTATAGTCATCCAAATGACTCAAGAGTGTACCAACAGTTTTCAAGTCCATTCTAAGCTGCTCGTGCATGTCTTCATTCATAGGTTGAATCAGTCTTTAGTCAAATTTCTGCTTCACAGCAGCTCTTTAAAGCATTCTCTGATTTTCTGTTTGTACAGAAAATCTTTGAATAAAATAGTAACATGAAAGAGTATTTATTACCTCACTAATATATTCCCCATCAGGAAATGGTTTCCCTGGCTGTGTGATACATGATACTTAAACTGCAGCAGCAACAAAATCATTTGAACTATGAACTGTGTAAATATTTGAAGTGAAATTCGGGCCCCAGTGAAGCCAATGGTAAACCTCCCAATGAGTTCAATGGGGTCAGGATTTCACCCTTGATCTTCAGCATCCTTACCCCTCATCCAACCTTGTGGATGCTCAAATAGCCTATTAGTGCACTCCCTACAGTGACATTTTGTTATATTTAGAGACATAACTACCCCTTTAGAAGTGGAAATGTCAGATTCATATTTGTGTGCAGAGTTGCAGTAATTGTATCCACAAATGCAGTTGTGCAATTGCAATTAATTTTTGCCTGCAAACTTCAACCTTATTTAAAAATAGAAAAGTTAGCTTAAAGGATTATTCATTATGTCATTTGATAGTTTGTCTTGATAAGAGTCATGGCATCAGGTGGAGTCAAGATATTATAGGGGTCAGCTTTCAATAAGATACGATTACAAACACCATTAAATCATATAGGGTGCTTTAGATTTATACACTATTCATAAACATTTGAGGGATCAGAAATTTATATTTGTATTGCCTGTTTTTATTTAAAGTCAATTCTAGGTTCCAATGTGATTTGTTGGTTCTAATATTGATTTAATCTAAAATGTTCAGACGTGTCCACCAACTTGGGGTGCCTACTCGGGGACAACTTGGTGGATCAAACTGAGCAACTAAAACATAAGCACCCAAAATTACTCAACACTTCTGAAAAGAGTTGTCCTCAGCCAATAGCAGTCACCTTTGTGTGTGGCATACAGTGTGTCTGGGTTTTTTTCTCCCCCTCACCCTTAACAGTGCATGTTGGAATTTGCAGTAGCTTAAGTAGGGAAAAGATATCTCTCATTATTTCTACAATTCCTCAAAAAGGAGGTGTCCATTTTAAGCAAACTGATGGGAACTTCAAGAAGCACTGGAAACGTATTACTTTTAAATCAAAATATAACACTAGGTCCAAAACTACCAACCAAATCAAACATTAGGGAAGTACAAATCTTGATCTGAACTTAATGGCTTTGGTATTCTCCTATAATACAAAACACCAAATCCAAACATGCAGACCTTTTGGAAAGCTAGGATTTCTAGCTGGATCCGAATTCCATGTCTCAGTCCTCGTTTTAATCAATATAGCATTCACTAGAGAAAGTGGCTGATATTTTAGTTTTCAAATATCTGATGCTTTAGTTTATTTTTCTAATAACCATTTTATACACAAAACTATGTACTGATTAGCACTGAACCTCCCCTAACTCACAACAGTGTGAATCAGGAATAACTTCACTGAAGTTAATGGAGTTGTATCATCATAAAGCAGGTACAAGATGAGAATCAGGCCTGTAACTTTCAAAAAAATCACTCATTTTATTATTTGATGTTCTGCTAAAAAACAAGCAATTTTTCATCCCCTCAAGAAGTTTTTCTTTTAGAAAACATTTTCTCCTCTTTGCACTCTGTTCCCATTCCTGCTGTTGAGAACTGGAAATGCAAGAAATGTCTTTTCATGGCTATTATACATATCTCTACTGTCTAATTGGGTGCAGGGGGTTCTAAAGCACATTCAGTTCATACCTTCTTCTCCCTAGGCTCAAAACTATGACTGTTCCTCTGGGATTTCTTTTTCTTTTTCTCCTTTAAAAGAAAAGCAGGGTCTTTTCACTCATGTAACCAAGATTTGGAAGTCTGCCAGCAGCTGTCTGACTCATCATTTTCCAAAGATACTGCGAATGCTGGGAATCAAATTCTAGCTGTGAGACCGAAGGTAGACACTTAGAGTGCCAAGTTCCGTTGCATTTCACTATTTGAATCCACCGTAATAAAAGAGTGCAAAGCAGAAAGCAAAACAGCTCTTTCTGTTGCTATCCTGCTACCAATCGTATAAGAGCCAACATCACTCTTTTTGCTAAGAATATGAATAATGTACAAAAGAATTTTTGAAAAATATCTTTGGGCTAGAAAACTGAGACTAATCATAGTATTGTTTTTCATGAAAATAAGTCTTGCTTTGAAGTATTTATTCTCCTTCCTTACTATTCCCTTGGCTATATTTTGTTTTCATAATGTTTATTCAGTTAACTTAGTTATTTTTGTACTTATCTGGTCTTACTGCTTTCTCTCTTTCCCCCGCCTCTCTTTTGATGCATGCGGTTTTGGTTTTCTCAAGCTGATTTATCTCTGTCAAAAATTGCTTCATTGCATAATGCACTGGACATAAATCCATTACTTATGGTATGTCTATTGCTGCTGGAAAATATGTTTCATGTGGAGATGGATTTTTTTTCCAGTTTTTGAACGCTATTTTCCATTCATGCAACATCAAGATTGATCTTTAAACCCACACACCAAAGCCTGACTGGGGTGCTGAATACTTCAGCTAAATATTTATAGGTATTGGTATAAGAAAATGTAGGGGTGGGGAACCAAATAACTTTAGCACTACTTCAGACCTTCACCACCAATTTGAAATAAATCCATACCTTTTCAGAGGTTCAAAATAGTTTGGATTTTGAGTTTGCCTATTCTCACAGTTTGCAGCCCAAATAGGTTCAGATCATGTTCAGAAAAGCATTCAAACTTTTGATTTCTTATCCAAATATATATTTTTGGACTTTTCTTTATTCCCACTTAATTTCAGTACATTTTGAATGCTGGGGATAAAATACTAGCTGTAAGACAGAAGGTAACATAAGAACGGCCATACTGGGTCAGACCAAAGGTCCATCAAGCCCAGTATTCTGTCCTCTGACATTGGCCAATGGCAGGTGCCCCAAAGGGAATGAACAGACAGGTAATCATCAAGGGATCCATGCCCTGTCACCCAATCCCAGCTTCTGGCAAACAGAGGCTAGGGACACCATTCCTGCCTATCTTCCATGAATCTATCTAGCTCCCTTTTTAACCCTGTTATAGTATTGGCCTTCACAGCATCCTCTGGCAAGGAGTTCCAGAGTTTGACAGTGCAGTGTGTGGAAAAAATAGATAGACAATCACTGTCTTCTTATTAGCATATGCATCACGTGGCACATAAACAGGATTCATCACTGAATTTGGTCCTGTGGTTGGATCATTAGTTTCCCTGGCTCATGCCAGGTACTGAAGGGAAGTGCAACGTGAACGCCGATCCATGCCCCTCACAATCACTGTGAACTGGGATGATGCTCAGAAGAGGCTAATATTCATGCACAATGTGTTTAGACACGCCTAGTTTGAATTTATGTTGCTTGAAGACTACCCAAAGCTTCTCCTTGGCTGGCAAAAATCTAATCAAGGATCATTGGGATTTAGTTTGCAAGGTCTTACAGCTTGCCTATCCTGTGGTTTAAGTTTTTTGTGTTAAGATAAGTTTTAGGTTTACAGTAAATTACATTTCAGTACATTTTTGGCTAACAAATGAGATTGAAGTCAGGGGTTTTCCATCACTTTTCTGTAATATAAATATACAGTACAGGGTTAAATTCTTAGCCTCATTGAAGTAACTGGGAGTTTTGCCACTGCTTCTGTGGGGTCAGGATTTCACAAAGGCCTTTCCAGGCAGGGCTGTGCTTCACTTTTATTGAGTCATGATGGTTCTTGTGACTCTAAGTAAAGCAATATTTAATATTTTAAAACCTTCTTATGTTTACCAATTTATTGTTATGATCCACATTGCTGATACTAATGTGACAATTGTGTTTTATACAGTTTTGTGAAGTTTCCTTTTTGGAATAAGATTTTAGTTACAGTGTTGTATATATATGATGTAACATTCTCATTTATTTTGTACTTCATACTACTTGATATGATTCTTACTTGAGGAAACAAGTCAATTTTGTTCTTTTAGTTTGTCAACCTGGCCCTAATTTGGTAACTAGAAATTTCATGCTTATCCAAACTGACATGGAACTCTCCCAGCCTTTTTCAAATTCATCAACAACTAGCAAAACC